AGAAAATAAACCATACCCCCGGCCGGGATTGAACCCGCGGTCATAGAGTCTCAAAACTCCAGACCGTCGCGTTAGCCACTAGACCAGCTAGCCACAATAAGATTCATCCAACTAGGTATATTTCTACACCATAGGAAGGTTAGCACAGGCATTTGTGGTCACAGAGGTGCCTGTGCTAACCTTCCTATGGTGTAGAAATATACCTAGTTGGATGAATCTTATTGTGGCTAGCTGGTCTAGTGGCTAACGCGACGGTCTGGAGTTTTGAGACTCTATGACCGCGGGTTCAATCCCGGCCGGGGGTATGGTTTATTTGCAATCGTGTCATTACGATTTCTTAAGTCTTATTAAGAAAATGTTTCGGTCCTGAAACCTCGATCACTTAAAAAGACAGTTACATAGGCGGAGAGTGAGGTGAGAGTGACACATAGTGACCTCACTCTTCGCCCGTATGATACTGCCGTTTTACTCTGTATCCACTCCAAGAGAGCAGGCCAGGACATCTCATATTACCTCTGAGACACCAAATGATGTCTACGATCACCTGCTTCACCGACATCATAAGCGACCTGATAGATTCACAGGAAAACAAAGAGACATTCAGAATTATTGTGAAAACCTTCGTGAACACATACATGATGGTCAAAAGAGCCCAAGCGTTTGTTGTCAAATTTACGTGACCATCAAACACAGGGCCCAGATACTGATGAGAGTCCTGATGGCCTCAGTCTCCTGTAGTACATAAAACAAAATGTTTTAATGAATGGTTTGAAAAACCGACAAGTTGAAGATTGAGACACAGTCGATGTGTTCAGTCCACCAATCTTCTACAAGACTGATGGACTGAACACATCGACTCCAGGCTGAGGGACTGATTACCTCAAACTCCTCCTATCCTTACGCCTTTCTACTTTGTATTGGACTGATGAAGCCACTGTGTGGCGAAACGTTTCCTGAATAAAGATTCCCATATGTTGCATAAGTGTCTCAATCTTCATAAAATGTTTTGCAGTGGAACACACAGGGACTCCAGCAAGACCCTGATCACAGCCACAGAACAACTGAATTAGATTGACATCTCTTTAGAGATCCTCAGACTGGTCATTTTAGGAGTAAGACTCGTGTCAGGACGCAGTTCCTGACGAATCAGTCAGTCAAACCTCTGTATGTTAGAAGTGACTCCTGTGTTGCTGGGTAGGTGGTGCTTGACCTGGTTGAATATCTTAGAAATTTTGTGGTTTTTCAGCGTTATGTAGTATGGTGTCGGTGACGGTGATCAGCGAGGCTTTTAGACACAGTAACACAAATATTCGATATGGACTGCCCGAGAATCAAATACCATTTTTTTTTTGTTCGGATTTTCGAACGAACATCAAAACTCCAGCAACAGGGATGATTAAGAAGGTACACTGTGTCTTCCACAAGGACTCCATGGGACTTTTGATAAATTGGGATGAGGCACAGTTCGTTCTCGCCGAACGAGATCTTAGACGTCGACGATGTCTGGAAGCCTCACTGATCACCGTCACCGACACCATAGAACAATGTGTGCAAGAATGGTATACAATACCGACAAGATGAAATTAAGACATGTGCAACATCTGAGTATCTTTATTGTAGACGTTTCGCCATCCAGTGGCTTTATTAATACAAATTCCAGGACATAACTTGAAGACAGTAGAACTATATACAGAAGATGAGGTAATCAGTCCCTCAACCTAGGAGTAGGTGCGAAGAGCACCGTAGTCTTGGAGATTCTGAAGCAGAAGCAAGGAGCCTCGCGCTTATATACTAACGTCAGGTGTAGCAGACGAGGGCTTAGTCACTGGTAGGCGGGATTCCCCAGTGGAAGTAGGTCCTTCCCAAAGAGATGGGTTAGTTGTAGTAGTAGTTGTCGTAGTCGTGAAGGTTATGTACATGTCCTCAGAATCAAGATCCCATGATGCTGCAGTGTCTGACAAGTTGTGCAATCTTGATTCTGAGGACATGTACATAACCTTCACTCAACTCCAAGGTTGAGGGACTGATTACCTCATCTTCTGTATATAGTTCTACTGTCTTCAAGTTATGCCCTGGAATTTGTATTGATAAAGCCACTGGATGGCGAAACGTCTGTAATAAAGATACCCAGATGTTGCACATGTGTCTTAATTTCACCATAGAACAATACTGGAAACTACAATATTTCTAAAATATTAACATACATGATACGCAACCAGACAAAACACCACCTACCCAGCAACACAGGAGTCACGTGATTACATTGTCTACCTGTGATCATCTCATTATGTCATTCTTCAGGTCACCATGTCACTCGCACCTCACTCTCCGCCTATATAGAAGTGATAAATTAGACACATGTGCAACTCTTGGGTATCTTTATTGAGGAAACGTTTTCCCCCACACAGGGCTTAAATTCAGCCCAAAACCCATAGGAAAATTTGGGAAAAAAACAGGGGGGGAAATAGGTAATCAGTCCCTCAACCTTGAGCCCGAGTGTTCAGTCCATCAATTAGGGCGGGGTTTGGGTGCCAGAGCCCGAGTTTTTTGCAAACCATGATGGGGGGGGGGTACTTGTGCCTCCTCCCAGGGGGAAAAATTGGGGTCTCGGGACACTCCCTAGACAGGGACCAGGGGCCGGGGCCCCATTTGGGAAAGGGGCCCGGGGCCCGGGAAAGAATCCCGGCGAATTTTTAAACCAACAACAGAACAGAAACTTTTTCCCTAAAAAATACTATGTCTTTTGTTTGTTTACGTGTTTTTTTTAAACCAAGCTTTTCGGTTTTTGGGTGGGGGGTTTGTAACCATTGTCCCCCCCGGGCAGGGTTGGGGGTGGTGAAAACCAGGTACACCCCGGCTTTGTTGGGGTGGTGTAACCAGTGTACCCCCACCGGCAGTTTTGGTGGGGGTGAACCCAGTGTACACCCCCGGGCGGGTGTTGGGGGGTGGTGAAACCAGTGACCCCACCGGCAGTGTTGGTGGTGGTGAAACCAGTGTACACCCCCGGGCATGTTGGTGTGGTGAAAACCATTTGTACACCCCCGGAAAGTTTTGGGTGGGGGGTTTGAAACCCCATGTACACCCCCCGGCCCAGTGTTGGTGGGGGTTTGTAACCAGGTCCCCACCGGCAGTTTTAAAAAAAGGGGGGGGTATAAAAGTTAAAACCACCAGCAATATTGGTGAGGTTTTAACCCAGTTCACACCACAGAATTTGGTGGTGTAGCCATTTTTACATCACCAGCGAAATTGTGGTGGTAAAAACCAGTATACTCCATCAGAAATATTGGTGGTGGTGAAAACCATTTCACATCAAAATATTTTTGGGTTTGGTGTAACCAGGGGTACATCACCAGCAAAATTTTTTGGGGGTGTAACCACTGTAATCACCAGAAAGTACTGTTTGGTGGTATAACCGTATACTCCATCAGCAGTATTGGGGGTGGGTAACCAAAAAATTAATCCACCAGCATTTTTGGGTGGGGGGTTGGTGGTGGTGAGTAACAAAGAGGCGGGCCGAGGCTGTGAGAGGGGCCCCGGGCGGGCATCAACAACAATGGGAGGGACCTGACATCTTCCGGGAAAACACTAAGCTTAAACTTCGTTTTTCTCATCACTGACTCCTTCGAGAAAATTTTGGGGCCAAGCTATCACCAAGACCTTGACGGGGGGACCCCGCCCTGGGCACATAATTGCAATAATTTTTAAAGGGAGACTGGAAAAAAACAGATGTTTTTGGGGTCACTTAATGTTTTTCAGTCTTGAGTACGTATATGTGAGGGGGCGAGGTCCCGGGTTAACTTTAAAGTTCCTCTGCTCTGAGGAAAAAGAGTTTGATAGGGTGCTTTAAAAAACTTACCGGGTGTGGCCTCTTCAGTGGTTTTTGACCCTCACTCGTTTTTTCTCCAAAAGGGGAGAAAAACAGTGGGTTTAACACATAAACGTTTTTTTTTTCAAACATTGGTGTGTTTGGAGTACTTTTGTTTTGTTAACAAGAGCCTTTAGGTCTCCCCCAGGTTTGCCCCCTTTTATACACCCGTGACCCCTTTTTAAAAAAAATTTTATATATATTATCCCCGAATGTTGTCTTTTTTTTAGCTTAGGTTTGCATGAAGCTCCTCAGTTTTTGTAGTGGAAAGATGATAGAAACCATCTTTATCTTTCCAAAAGCAAAGGGAGAGTAAAAAATAAAGAGCAACCTTCTTCTTTTGAAAAAAGCCGCTATAAAAAAGCAGGGCCCCTAGGAAAAACATCGTCTATTTAAAATCAAAACCCAAAAAAAAAAAAATTGGAAAGTTTGCTTCGCCACAACCCCCCCAGTAGGTTTTGTCCCTAATAGGTAAATAGGCAATTTTTCGGGGTGGTGTAGTTCTCAAATTTAGAAGTTTGATAGATGCTTTCCGTTGGCACATGTTGAGGATGGTTATAGAAATTTTAAGGACATAACCGGCAGAAAGCGTTTTTGAAGTACTAATTATGATTATAGACACTATTTCTAAGAGAAGAGGAGCTTACGAATTAGCGTCACCCTTCACTCACAAGATACTCAAAACTAAGAACTAGTATTCAGCTAAGACACCAGCCCAGCTGCCCGGGAATGTCAACATTCCCGGGCAGCTGGGCATTGGTCTACCCTTCACACCTGCATACCAGTCACTTCTTCAACTGACACACCACCCTCCTCCTCACTATATATGTATGGAAACATATCTTTGATTTTTCAGTATGAAAATGGTATTCAATACCAACAAGTTAATAAGTAAGATACACGTGCAACAGTTAGGTACTTTAATTCTGAAGCGTATCGCCTACACAGTAGGCTTCTTCTGTCGAATAGGAAGCAGCAGAAGTGATGTTAAGGGCACGTCAGTTCCTTTGTCTTCTAATAATACGCTATTTTCCCACAATAATCTACCTTGTCCATAATTAGTAGCGTATTTGCTTTGTCTGTTTCGTAAGGTGAAGTCCAGGATCTTGACTTAATTCATGGTATAACTTAACAGATCTTTGAGGACAGTTGTGTTACAGAGTTCTGAACGTCGCTCAGACCTCTACAACCCATTCTCAGAGATCATGCGAAGTATACTCAGATGTGTTCTTTTGTATCAGTTCAAGCAGAGGAGGGGCAAAGAGGATGTCTTGGGGAGGGGAAGTAAGGCCTCAAATTCTCTCAGTCCCCCAATAAAAATAACTTTAACGCTGAGTCAAGACAAGCTAACTAGCCCCGCCTTCCAACCTGAGCCACTTCTCACCCCCTCCCCCTCGAACAGAAATTTTGGAGATGAGTTGAAGATGAGTGGAATAAACTTCCGAGTACCGTCACCCATCCACACCCACTCATGGATAAATACATGAGTGGGTGTGAGTTGGACCTGACTACTGTGCTACTAGACGGATGCAAGTGCTCCTCCCTTAAGTTACCTAGTCCTGACCTCCCTAGTCAAGAAATTTGCTTAAGCCGGTGGGGATGAACTGTACTGCCTCGCATAGGCCAGTATGCCTGATGCAGTGTTTCCTTCTTTCATATGTTCTTTACGCAACACTTTATCTTATGCTCCCGCTTCACACACGGAGTCCGTTTCGATCCCGGCGGTGTGGAAACATTTCGACACGTTTCCTCTTACACCTGTTTGTCCTGTTTCACTCTAGCATCAAAATTAAGGTACCTGGTGTTAGTCGACTGGGTGTGGTTGCACCTGGGACAAGAATCAGGACCCCAATGGAAAAAAGTTAGACAGTCCTCGATGACGCACGACTTTCTTGGGTATCCAGGTGCTAAAACCCTCACGGGGTTAAAAATCCGAACGAAATCTAATATCTTATCTTAACTAACTTGTACATCCCCAATAACATATATTCCGGCGTTACCTCAGAAAATTGTGATATTGAAAGGTAATTCTCCGTACATCACGTTATGGTCTCGTAACAATTACAGATCAGCATATTCACAACCAAGGTAAAAGCTTCTTAAAAGTATAGAATCGAGTGGCAGAACAAACAACTATACACTAGTTTAAAGTATGTTAATAACAACTGTATAGTATTAGGTAGCCACGAGGTTGGCACATCAACTGTTACGTTATAAGTGAAAAGATATCTTCATTGAAATTGAAATTGTTAATCACCTTGAAGTTTACAATGTGGTGATTATTGTATGAAGTATTTCACATAGGTAGTTACAGTGGAGGTTTACAATGCTTGGTAGTAACAAAGAGAGACAGTATCAAGCCTTTGGCATACGGCCAGTTTAAATTAATAAATTACTGATTACTTAAAAGTAGACGTCCAAAACATACACAAATAACCCCCGCACATAAAAGAGACAAGACTTACGACGACGTTTTTCGACATCCGCCTTGGACCATTGACAAAGTCGACACTAACCAGAAGTGAGGCAGGACGGCTATATAAAGGCAGAAGAGGTGGTAGAATAGTAGTAGTAAGTAGAACAAGAACGTATATAATACCGACAAGGTATTTTGATTCATCGTTTCCAGTCACGGTATTGTGCCTTTTTTTGGTTATTTATGTACAAAACATAGCTTGGTCAGGTTGCACTAATTATACAATGGGTTACACATCTATTAAATATGTTTTTCAACATTTGCGTTCAGCCTTCAGCCTTAGATTAGATTAGATTAGATTTTTTATTTTGACAAATTACATGGTTGTACAGAGGAATAAAATAGTCGGGTGTACATACCAAAAGTCCCTCTGTATGCTGAGCATTTCTGGCAAACTTAAACATTAACTTAAGAATAGTATGGCAATAATACATAGTTCATATGGTCATTAGATGAATTAATGATGATTAATGATGATATGTATCATACACAACCTGTAGAAATCATACACATCCTATAGATATACACAACCTACAGGTATCATACATGACGTACGTGTCATGCATATAAAGAAACAATTGGTCATGCATGGATGAAGGTAGAGTGGGTGAATATGTTATCACATCTCGTGTGATCTTGTAACATGTTATCATACCATCACCTGTGAACACATATGGCTCCATATCATTACTGAGTGGTGTCACCAACTAGTGTCTGTATCAAGACTGAGTCACTCAACACCTCACATTACTGAGTGGCGTCAACCAGCAGTGTCTAGTATCAAGACTGAGTCAACTCACACCTCCACAATACTGAGTGTGTCACCAAGTAGTGTCTGTATCAAGACTGAGTCACTCAACACCTCACATTACTGAGTGGTGTCACCAACTAGTGTCTGTATCAAGACTGAGTCACTCAACACCTCACATTACTGAGTGGTGTCACCAACTAGTGTCTGTATCAAGACTGAGTCACTCAACACCTCACATTACTGAGTGGTGTCACCAACTAGTGTCTGTATCAAGACTTGAGTCACTCTACACCTCACATTATACTGATGGTGTCACCAGTAGGTCTTTATCAAGAAAGAGTCACTCACACCCTCACATTAACTGAGTGGTGTCACCAACTAGTGGCTGTATCAAGACTGAGTCACTCAACACCTCACATTACTGAGTGGTGTCACCAACTAGTGTCTGTATCAAGACTGAGTCACTCAACACCTCACATTACTGAGTGGTGTCACCAAGTAGTGTCTGTATCAAGACTGAGTCACTCAACACCTCACATTACTGAGTGGTGTCACCAACTAGTGTCTGTATCAAGACTGAGTCACTCAACACCTCACATTACTGAGTGGTGTCACCAACTAGTGTCTGTATCAAGACTGAGTCACTCAACACCTCACATTACTGAGTGGTGTCACCAAGTAGTGTCTGTATCAAGACTGAGTCACTCAACACCTCACATTACTGAGTGGTGTCACCAAGTAGTGTCTGTATCAAGACTGAGTCACTCAACACCTCACATTACTGAGTGGTGTCACCAAGTAGTGTCTGTATCAAGACTGAGTCACTCAACACCTCCACACATTACTGAGTGGTGTCACCAAGTAGTGTCTGTATCAAGACTGAGTCACTCAACACCTCACATTACTGAGTGGTGTCACCAACTAGTGTCTGTATCAAGACTAAGTGGCTCAACACCTCACATTACCTCTACACGTCTACCAACATTATTTTATCACAACAACAAAAATACCCAAGTGTTGTATATGCGTTTTATTCATCTATCTGTCTGTTTTATACACCATAAATGTAGTAAAATAAGCTTAAAAACAACATATTAGGGCTTCAGCATATGAGGTACCTACATACCTTACCATTTTTTTCATTCTGACTTAAGAATTTAAGGGCCACTTTGAACCTGACGTGACATATGGTTTCACAAAGTCAAAATCCGGTCCTATTGATAATACTGTTTTATGCGTTGTTGTTATGTTGCAGATGTGGAGCATCTGTTGTTATCTTGTCATGTTGCAGATGTGGAGTATCTGTTGTTATCTTGTCATGTTGCAGATGTGGAGTATCTGTTGTTATCTTGTTATGTTGCAGATGTGGAGTATCTGTTGTTATCTTGTCATGTTGAGATGTGGATATCTGTTGTTATCTTGTTATGTTGCAGATGTGGAGTATCTGTTGTTATCTTGTTATGTTGCAGATGTGGAGTATCTGTTGTTATCTTGTTATGTTGCAGATGTGGAGTATCTGTTGTTATCTTGTTTATGTTTGCAGATGTGGAGGTATCTGTTGTTATCTTAGTTATTTTCAGATTGGATAATCTGTTGTTACTTGTTATGTTGGCAGATTGAGGAGTAACTGTTTGTTATCTTGCGTTATGTTGCAGATGTGGAGTATCTGTTGTTAGGTCTTGTCATGTTGCAGAAGTGAGTATCTGTTGTTATCTTTGGTTATGTTCAGATTGGAGTATCTGTTGTATCTTTTATGTTCAGATGTTGAGTATCTGTTGTTACTTGTTATTAGCAGATGTGAGTATCTGTTGTTATCTTGTTATGTTGCGCAGATGTGGAGTATCTGTTGTTATCTTGTTATGTTGCAGATGTGGAGTATCTGTTGTTATCTTGTCATGTTGCAGATGTGGAGTATCTGTTGTTATCTTGTCATGTTGCAGATGTGGAGTACCTGCTGGGTCGACCTCTGCAACGAGAGTTGGCTGGTGAAGCGCAGATAGAAGTGGCTCTGGATTCACTACTACACATTAGCAGTGGTAAGCTTAGCAGTACCCTGACCCAGCAGTGGTAAGTGGAAGTACCATGGAGACCCAGCAGTGGTAAGTGGCAGTACCTGGACCTCAGCAGTGGTAAGTGGCAGTACCTGGACCTCAGCAGTGGTAAGTGGCAGTACCTGGACCTCAGCAGTGGTAAGTGGAAGTACCTGGACCTCAGCAGTGGGTAAGTGGCAGTACCTGGACCTCAGCAAGTGGTAAGTGGCAGACAACCTGGTGGACCTCAAGCAGTGGTAATGGTAGTACGTAGAACCTCAGCAGGTGGTAGGGTAGTCCCTGGACCTCAGCAGTGGTAGTGACAGTACCTGGACCTCAGGAGTGGTAAGTGACAGTACCTGAACCTCAGCATGAAAAGTGGCAGTACGCCTATGAACCGCAGCAAGTGGTAAGTGGAAGTAACCAGGCCCCTCAGAGTGGTAAGTTGAAGTAACTGACCTCACAAGTGGTAAGTGCATACCTGGACCCACTACATGGTAAGTGACAGTAACTGACTTCAGCAGTTGGTAGTGACAGACCTGGACCTCATGAGCATGGTAAGTGACAATACCTGGACCTCAGTAGTGTGTAAGTGCAGTACTGGGATCTCATCATGTAAGTGACAGTACTGGACCTCAGTCAGGGTTAGTGGCAGTACCTGGACCTCAGCATGGTAAGTGACAGTAAACCTTGATCTCAATAGTTGTAAGTGGCAGTACCTGGACCTCAGCAGTGGTAAGTGACAGTAACCTTGACCTCCAGTAATGGTAAGTGGCAGTACCTGACCTCAGCAGTGGCGTAAGTGGAATATACCTGACATCAGCAAGAGAGGTAAGCGCAGTACCTAGACCTCAGCATGGTAATGATCAGTACCCTGGACCTCAGCCGTGGGCAAGTGGCAGTATCTAGACCTCAGACAGTGGTAAGAGACAGTGCCTGGACCTCACAGTGGTAATTGACAGTACCGGACCTCAGCAGTGCGGTAAGTGACAGTACCTAGACTTCAGCAGTGTGTAATGACAGTACATGGACTAACAGCAGTGTAAGTTGACAGTACCTGGACTCAGCAGAGATGGTGACAGAACCTGGACATCGGCATTGGCAATGTGCATATATCTAGACCTCAGCCAGTGTAAGTGGCAGTACCTAGACCCTCATCATGTAAGTGACAGCACCTGAAACTCAGCAGTGGTAAGTGCACTAACCTGGACCTCAGCAGTGGAAGTGACCAGTCACCTAGACCTCAGTCAGTGGTAAGTGCAGTACCTAACTCAGACATGGTAAGTGGCAGTATCTAGACTCAGCCCGTGTAAGCTGCAGTACCTAGTCCTCACAGTGGTAAGTGGGCAGTTATCGAGACCTCAGCAGTGGTAAGTGGCATACCTGGACCTCATAAGTAGATAAGTGGCAGTAATCTAGACCATCATCAGTGGTAAGTGACAGTACCTGACCTCATAGTGGTAAGTGGCAGTAGTCTGGACAACAAGGGGGGGGGGGGGTGAGCAGTGGGTTTGGGGGTGTCAGACATTGGGGAGAGAGAGAATAATGGGGGGTATGTGGAGATGTTTTAATGGAAAGGGGGGGGGGGGGGGGAATATTGGGTTTGTGATCTGGGTACCGGGGGTGGAGGAGGCCGGGAGAAGTGTAAGTTTCAGTACCTGGACCTCACCAGTGGTTAAGTGCCTAGTACCTGGACCTCAGCAGTGTAAGTGGCAGTAACCAGGACCTCAGCTAGTGGAAAGTGCAGTACCTAGACCTCAGCAGTGATAAGGAAGGCATACCGAAACTCATACATGTGGTAATGGCAGAACCTGGACCTCAAGCAGTGGTAAAGAGTCAGAACAAATATACCTCTTCTCAGCTCATTATAGTCGCGTCAAACTGCAGAGCCTTGATGCCATACGTCAGGTAATCTACAAGAAATCGCAATGACCGGTCGGTCTGGAGTTTTTAAAACGACCCTTCAAAACCGCTAGTTCAATCCCCACCCGATACAGTGGATTTGGTATAGTAACTTGAGTTGAGACAACGGCTCTTGCTTCAAGGCATTGGAAATACCTTCAATTTCCTCGGATCAAACTTAATAAATTTTAATTCTGCCAGGTACTGATTAAAAACACTCGAGGATTAGCGACTTTGCGTAACACTAAATTAAAAATCTTGCAGTAATAACTCCTATCACTTACGTATTTATTCATTAATTAAAAGAAACACTGCTTTGTGGGAGTCCTGTCCCTTACATCTTCCCACTGCTGTCTACAAGACCGGCTGCAAGGTACCTAGAGTCAGTACCTGACCACCGGGCAGTTAGTATACGTTACAATGTGGTTTTTGTGTCATGCCAGCAGAAAACGTGCCCTGGCTGATCAGGGCCCCATGAACCAACGGCGCGGATTCCCAGGTCAAGGACTGGGCAGCAAAGGGACTATACCGCGAGGTATCCAGACACTCCAAATGGTACAATACTGCAATTGTTTACCACACAGCCTGTTAGGACGCCTCCCCTTTCCGGCTTGGGAGAAGGGGCTGCGGGCTGGGAGTAGAGAAGGCTGCGGGCTGGGATGGAAGAGGCTGCGGGCTGGATGTAGAGTGCGCGATTAGATGTTTAAGCAAATTGTGGTATTACACACTTATTAGTAGTGTGGTACAACACAATATTGGTTAAGTAGGTAGGAACACACTTGTGGTAAGTAGAGTGGTACACACCTTTGGGAAGTGGTGGTACATCCTTGGGTAAGTGGTGGTACACGACTTGGGTCTAAGTTGTGGTACACACTTAGATAAGAATGGTACACACTTGGGTACGATTGGATTTACACACTTGTTAATTGGTGGTACACACTTGGGTAAGTGGTGGAACACAGCTTGGGAAAGTTGGTTTTACACACTTGGGTAAGTGGTGGTACAACTCTTTGTACGAGTGGTACACACCATGGGATAATTGGTTGGAACACACTAGAGTAAGTGTGTACACACTTGGTTAGATATTGGTGGAACACACATGGGAAGGTGGTGGTACACCACTTGTGAAGGTTTTATGTACAAACTTGGGTAGGTGGTGGTTACACAACTTGGTAGGTGGTGGTACACACTAGGGTAGGTGGTGGAACACACTAGGGTAGGTGGTTTACACACTTGGGTAGGAGGTGGTACACCACTTGGAGGTAGGAGTGGTTGGTACACTACTTGGTAAGTGGAGGTACACACTTGGGTACGATTTGGTGGAACACTCTTGGGTAGGGGGTGGAACACACATGAGTTCAGCTGTGGTACAACACTTGAGTAATTGTGGAACACAACTTGCAGATAGGGTGAAGTTACCTAGGAGGTCAACCACCCAAGGGACGGAGGATGGACCCCCCGAATGTACCTTGTAGGAGTAACACCCTTTGGGTAGGTTAGGGTGCTTGAACACACATGGGAAGGGTAGTGAGAAACCACACTATTGGTAGGTGGAGGTACACACAAGGTAGGTTGTGGTACACACATGGTAGGTGGTGGTACACACGTTGGTGAATGTGGTGGTCACACTGGGTAGTGTGGTACAAACACCTGTAGGTGGTGGTACACACTATTGGGAAGGTGGTGTAACACACTGGGTAGGTGGAGGTACCCACTTGGGTAAGTGGATGGAAACAACAAGCTGTTGGGTAAGAGGAGGAACACACTTGGTAAGTGGTGGTACACACTTGGTAAGTGGTGGAACACATTTCGGGATAAGTGGTAGTAGCACACTTGGGTAAGTGGTATACACAACATGGTAAGTTGTAGTACAGACTTTGGTAAGTGGTGCCGTTTACTTAGCACAGTTGAGACGTGTACCTTAGCTTGGAGAGGTGACGTGATACATAGCACAGTGTTGACGAGTATCTAATCACAGTAGGGGACGAGCACTTAGCTCATGGGTGACGTGTACCTTATGCCCTCAGTGGTGACGTGTACTTAGCTCAGTGGGTTACGTGATACTTACTCAGTGGTGGACGGTGTACTTTGCTCTGTTGAAGACCTGTTAGAGTGCTCTCTGTGAAATCTGAACCAGGTGGCCCTCTCTGAGCAGCTTTACCAGCAGCTGAGAGAATAACTCCAGAGTTGCTAAACTGGAGAATAACGGCGATTGACGGAGGAGAACAAGATGATTCGTAGTAATCCTCCTGTTGAGAGTCCCCAGGTTAAGAGGGAGGCTTGTCAGTGGCCGGCAACCTGGAACCAAAGCTGAAGATTAAGAGAACGTGGAGAGGCAGAAACAAACGAGAAACCAGAAGACTGCCGTGACAACTTCCAACACATACTCCGGTGCTACCTGACGAATGTGAAAGTGTTTCTACTGGAATAGACCACAACGGCACCAAGGAAGGCATTGGCAACTAAGACATCCCTAAAACCCCAACGAAGACCATCGAGAACGTCATGACGACTTCTACAAGTGTGTAATGCAACGTGGCGAAGTGACAGTCGACTACTCCGAGCATCACTACGGAATCGACGACGCCAAGGAAGTTACAACATTGTTGTTGTTGGGGATAGCCAGATTAGGTTCATGGATAGGGCATTCTGTTTGAATGGATAGGAGTAGGAGGCAAGAGTGTGTTTTCCTGGGGCTGGGATGAAGGATATTGTTTAGCCGTCTGGATGACATCATGAGAGGTAATGGGAGGCAATCCTAATATCGTCTCAGTGCTGGAGGCAACGATGTTGGCAGACGTAGGAGTGAGGACCTATTAGCAGGTAAAGGAGTCTCAGCAATTAGAGATAATTAGGAAGAAGGGTGGGAAACACCATCATTGTGGCATTTTGCAGAGAGGAGTTGGAAATGAATGGTTGTCCAGGGCAATTTTGGTGTCAATTGCTGGCTGGACAAATCTGTAAGGAAAAAGCGGTAACATTCAATGAACAACTGGGACCTCTTCTATGGCAGAATATGACATTGTATGCCAGGGAATGGTTTCACATGTCTAGTGTGGGGTGGGAGCACTGGCCACGCAGAGGAGGTGAGCAGATAGGTCTTT